AAAGCTCATCACTTATACGAATCCCAATTTCAAGGAGTAACAGAGGAACCATTTAGTCATGCATTGTTTAATTTGGGATTAGGTAACTAAGGAAATATCTACCTCCTCTAAAACAGAGTTTTTGTGTGTTTTTTGTTTTGTTTTGTTTTTGACTGTTCTATGAAATAACACAGGATATTCATTTGAGCCTCTATAAACAGTGAATTTTTAGTTATTTTCTGGATAAATTGAAGTAATGGAATAGGAGAAATTTTCAATTTGTTCATCATGTCTGAACATCAAATAGAAAATAAAAAAGATTAAATACATTATTTTAGATGACAGACAAGAGGAATGAAAAAAATCTCAACAATTTTTAGAGTTATTTGTCCACTACTCTAGCCATGGAAAATAAAAGGTCATAACCATGGCAAGTTACTTAATACTGTTATTGAACTAACTATTCCTGTAATTCAGGTATGTTAGGAAGAATCTTTATTTTTTCAATTTCCTTCATTGACTTCTTTCCCTAATATTAAAAGCACAGATATCTTAATTTTTTAAGCTGATGAGAATCTATCATTATATTTAAACCCCATTTTACAAATTAGGATTCTGGGACTCAGAGGGGAGAATTGATTTGTCTAAAGTAATATACACAGCAGAGTTTGGTTAAGAAGTAATGTTTTGGATCCCCAAACCCATTATTTTCTGTATGGGTCATTTTCTATATTTTCAAATATGTCCTCTTCCCATTAATCCTATGGTCTTTTGCCATTCAGAATGTACAGATCTTTACTGACTACTTCTAATCAACTCATTGCTTACATCTCTAGATATTTCTTGGCTTTCCTTGTTGATTCCCACCATAGCCTGGTGTCATGTACGAACAATACATGTGTTGTTTTCTACTAAGCAAGTCAATTGAATGAGCCCCAGAGCCCAAGACCAGCTGCTAAATTGCCTAAGTGAATATTAGCACAGTAATAATACTTCTTTAAATGCTCGGTTTAGAATCATTTATTTGATCCAAAAAAAACTATATGATCTAAAACTTTATTTTCTTCTGTAGATGAGATACAATTCATTTGGATCCTTGCTCAAGTCAACATAGGATCACAAGATTTTTCAAGTAAAAATAGACTTTACCTTGATCTCAGTAAACCTACAGTATTGTATAAGATTTGATTAGCCAGGTAGGAATCATCTTTCCAAAGGAAATCTTATTGTTATCCAATTGCTAATTTGTATTCAAGAGAGAAAGCATACAGGTCATCTTGTTTGATCCTTATTTGTAAATTCTCAAGACTCTTTCATTTTGACTACTTTGTAGTAATTAATATGCTTGTACCCTCTACTCTGCGATTACTCAGAGCATTTCAGAATTTTAGCAAGTATTTCTTTAAATGTGTTTATTTTTCTTTAATTTTTGCTTTATTTCTGATAGAAAAAAGGTAGATGAGAGAAAACCAGTGAATCTTGTCAGTTTCAGACCAACATTTGGATAGTATTGAAGGGCAGTAAAGTAAAAGTGCTGTACTGGATTTTTATTCAAGAACACTGATCTTAAAGTGGGGGCATGAGGTGTTCTTTTTCTGTACAAATTCTTGACTAATGTGTTTTTTATTAGAGCCAGATGGGACTAAGAGCCTAAACTTTGGTAAAAATTATCACTTGTGCCCATCAGCATTTTTTTCTGCTCCCCCAAACTCAATTTCTTGTTTCCCATTTTCAGCATCTTCCCATTTACCCCCTTTCTACCTGATATCAAACTGCACTCATTTTATTTCAGCTACCTCTGTTTGTTAATTAAGATAGGGGGAGAGTGGGGGGAGGGGTAGAGAAAGAGGGAGAGAGACAATATCAAGCAGGCTCCACACCCAGTGCAGAGCCCTATGCAGGGCTCGATCTCACAACCCTGAGATCATGACTTAAGCCAAAATCAAGAGTCAGACACTTAATCCACTGAACCACCCAGGCAACCTCAGCTGCCTCTATTTAGAAAAGATTAATTTAATTATAGGAACCTTGGGAATCAAAATATTACCTTATTGAGCTATGTTGGCACGTTTGAAAAGAGGCTTTTGGAAAGGGAAAGATTTAATCCAGGGAACAGAATCTTAAATGGTTGAATTTTAGACATGATAGTACATAGATGGACTTTCTGGGGACAGGGACAGCCAGGGATGCTGGAATTGGAAGGAGTAGGGTCAGAGGGATCTTCTCAAGGCACCAGCATTTGTGCTTTATAACATATGGCTGATTCTTTCTCCTCCTATATACCTATAGATTGAATTTAAACTTTTGAGAACTATTCTTAAATTCAACTCATTCTTCTGATGTTTCAGCATATTATCTAGACAACTATCCACATAAAGATTTATATATACTCCATACATAAGAACTAAATATTTGGGACACCTGGGTGGATCCTGGGTGACTCAGTCGGTTAAGCATCTGCTTTCAGCTCAGGTCATGATACGGAGTCCCAGGATCGAGCCCCACATTGGGTTCCCTGCTCAGTGGGAGACTGCTTCTCTCTGTGCCTCCCCCTGCTCGTGGTCTCTCCATCTCTCTCTCTCTGAGATAAATGAGTAGAATCTTAAAATTTTAAAAAAGTACTAAAAATAAATTTTTATTTACTATAGGATCAATTTTCATGTGAAATTCTATGGTAATTATTTGCCATGGAACCATTGTGTTTTAATATACCATATATTTACTATAGAACCACTTAGGTTTTAGTATAGCCCCCTTACCTCAATTCCTTTAAGTCTTCTGAATTTATTGTCTGCAAGGGTTTTTAAAATGTGCCAATGTTACCATTTTGATTTACATGCTGTTGTAAGGTGTTTTAATTAAAGGCACACCACACATTCTCTAATTCCTCCAGTCACATCTCATTTCCCTGTTCACATGTCTGAGAATCAGCTATGCAAAAAGTCACAAAAACAATGCAGCTTACCCTGTTGACTTCCACTATCTCACACGGACATGTTCTTGGGAAGTATTATACATTACATTTTGGGTAGCTAATTAAATAATTTTATTATATTGTATACTTTAAGGATAGATGATTAGAGGTCACTTACTGTAAAAACTGATGGTTAGTTTCCTGCCCATTATTTGCTAATTTTAGCTCTTGGTAAGATGGCACAAGATTCATACAGCTGAACTCAGAACCTTAGAAGTCACTCAACATTTCGTCCTTTTTCTACTCCAATTGCCTTCATTTTGCTTTTTCTTCTTAAAAGAATTGCTTCAGAATGGAAAACTCTTTCTAAAATATGTAGGATTTATTGCCCTATCTACCATTAAATCAAAACCTGAGAGGCAATCCATGCTTAGTACATTCATTCCCCAAAGATAGTACAGTAAAGTCTTCATTGACTGGAGATGATCAGATCATGTTGATGGAGTGTGTGTGTGTGTGTGTGTGTGTGTGTTTAATGTAACTGTCTTCTATTTTAACAGCTACATTTACTATAAAGAGAGTCTGTTAAGCTGGTGTCCTTGGTGCTCCTGTTCTTAGCTGAATATATACAACAGACTCTCAGCAAAAGAAATCCAGAGCATATAAAGCAGCAGAAAATACCAATTTCACACAAACTAATTGGATCAGTTTATACATTTTTAAATATATAATTTATTTCAACTTAGTACTATATTATCCTATAGAACTCGAGTTGATATCAACTATTTTGTTTCCAATTTCCCTGCTATGTTTTATACTAATGGACAATTAAATATTTTTCTACTAAATCATGTAGAGAATTTGATGAATAGGAGTTCCAAGGACACTAAATTTAGAGAATTTTTTGTCTAGTATGTACAATTGTAATACTGTCAGAGATTTTGTAGAGATAAAGCATATACTATATTAAGAATATCAATACCCTAATGGTTCTTGGTGGGAACATTAGTTGGACCCCTTTACCTGTAATACAATTATTTTAAGTAGTTAATTATTTTCTGTGAACATTTCATTATGTCAATAGCTATCCCACAGTATATGTGGTTCATTTGTACAGTTCATGATGGTGTTTATCAGAAAATGAAGTAAATAATTATAAAGAAACCTGAGCAAATTTTATGAAATCCAATAGATGCTTTTCTTAAAACTGTTTTGGAACCAAGTCATCCTCAGAGCAGTGATGGAAAGTGCTAGAAAAAGTTGTAAACCTTCCATTGTATGCTTTTTCTTTTCGTAAAATCACCCAATTACTTAATTGGAAGTAGTTTAGTATCTTATATGGTTTAGATTGAGCGTTATATATTTTCCTTGAAAATAATTGTTTGTAATGCCACGTTCTCCATGAATTCAAATCATGCACTGCATGCTTTTAAATGACTTGATGTCTTTGCAGATCTAATTTTGGTGTATTTGTATCTCAAATAATTCGCCAACTCAATATTTTGGCTTAGCAATCCAAATCAAATTGTGGTCCAAGTAGCAGGCACTCACATCGAATGTACAGAGACTTGACAAGCAATTAGCAATGAATATTTAAACGTCTTCATTACCCTTGCATGAGGAATGCAGATGGCATTTAGGGAGATGGCAACCAGAGGGCACTACTGTGAATTATGTTTCTATCAGTTGGTCACCTGACTATTGGAAGACTTTCTCTGGGCCCCATGCCACTCCTATACTTCTACTGTCTGGCTAAAAATAAAGGCATTGCAAATGTTGTAAAACAGGTTGCTTTTATGAAATTTCTCTGCACATTTTATGATTTGGGAAGATTGTCTCCAAGGATCCCTGCATATACCCCTGAGGCATACCAAACCCAAATGCCAAGACTGTATAGGGGATTCTAAGAATCAGAGTTCCTTCAAAAACCCTGCTGATCATTTGATGATCAATTACTTCAGCATAATGTGCTGAATGTGCAAAGGTGAATAAATCAACGTTCTGTCCCTCCCAGAAGCTAATGTATTATATATGGCCCAAGAAAAAAATGTCTTTGAATAATTAGAATTTCCAGATTGAGCTCTCATTATAAATTTCTTTTTTTAAGGAAAAAACAACACTGGAGAGTCTGACTCAGCAACTGGCAGTTAAGCAGAATGAAGAAGGAAAATTTAGCCATGCCATGATGGATTTCAATATGAGTGGAGATTCTGATGGTTTGTGAAAATTGTTCATGTATATTCTGATAGTGTACAGATGTGTCTATTTAGTGCCAGTTAAAACTACTAAAAAGTCTATAAGATAGCCACCTTATACCTGGTCATTACAATAAGAGCTCACATGTACTGAGCAGTTCCCATGTGCCAAGCAATCTGCTGAGGGCTTTGCATAAATCATTTCATTAATTTCTAGCACAACCTGTGAGATAAATACTATTACAAATGAAGTATTTGTAATATTTGGCCCTGGGAATTTTGAATCATTTTTCTTCAAGATAACAGGGCTGTGATTACCAGAGGCAGGTCTTGGATTCAAGATGGCATGATTCTGAAGCAAATACTCCCAGTCACTGCCAGACTTCTCTCTCACTTCCCTATTTCTTGTACCCAAAGCAAACTACTCAGAAAGTTGTGTCTACAAGCTCATTTTCAAGTTTTCATTTGTCAAACTCTGACCAGAATACAAGGCTAAGCAGACATTTTCAGGAGACACACATATATGTGTGTGTGTGTGTGTGTGTGCATGTATATTTGCACTTTGGAACCCTTCACTCTTATACTGTTTACCATTCAGTCAAGTGTCCTCCCTCCCCTTTAGAACCCAACTAGAACACCAGCTGCCCAACCTCATGCTTTCTTCACGTGCCTCAAGATTTCTGTTGTCTGTATCATCTCTGAACATTCTAAACATCCCCAATGACAACTAATTAAATTGACACTAATTTTCATAGCACAGCAAACAGAGAAAAAGAAGAAAGTGCTATTCGTCTTACCTTGAGCTGCAGCTGGGAACCTCCCTCCCATATCAAGTGCCATATATGCATTTTGAGAACACTGTCCTCAAATTTGTTACTATGGGAGAGAAAGTCCCCTGCATATAGAAAAGACTGCACCAGAGCAAACCATTAGAAAGCATACTTTAGGACCGAGGAGATGGCCTTGAGTTCCCCAAAATACGTAGTTGTCTACTCTGTGCCTTGGGCCAATTCTACTTTTAAGTGCAGTTCTACACTAGCCAAGAGACTAGCCAAACTTGAGCATGTAGCCAGATAATTTTATCGGAACTGAATTTTATTCAGTTGGCTATCCAGCCAAAGTCAGTGTTTTCCTGGCCTTTGGGATCCAAACGTTTCCTTCTCTTTTCTACATCACTTGGCTAAGATAAACGTGGTCTAAGTACATATAAAGAGCTTGTTTAGCTTTGGTGAAGTTGCATAATGTTCATTTTATTGCTTATGTTGCTGTAAGGTGTAAAAACAGGAAAAAGCAGATGTGCAAATGATCATTTGCTAGTTACAAACCCATTTCAGAAAGATGTTGCCATATATTAACACTCATTTTTGTCAATAAAAAGACAATTACTGGTAATAACACATTTCATAAATTTTAAGTTGTATTAGCATGGTAAAATATATCCATAGTAATCAGCATTAAAACATCAAAACTTTGTTGCTATTATTTGTTAAATTCAGTCATGCTTGTATGCAAAACATTTTCTAATCTTCATCAGACCAAAGAGCATACTATGAGTGAGAAATAATGAGAAACTCCACCACCAGGTATGCTGTGTTTCTGTTTGCTGCTCTAGAGGTCTTCAAGTCTGGGTAATTTTGGTTGATTTATGTTCCTTCTAACTGAGAAAAGAGAAGAAGCGGAGTCTGAGGGAAGAAAAAAAACGCAATGCTTTAATTAAAGATACAAGTTCTAGAAATGCCCAAATAATTTAAAAATTTTATATGCTACCAAAATACATCTCTTCCATATTTTCTAATGATAACTCTGGAAAACTTGGTATCACAGTTCTGTGCTTCCTTCTGCTTCTCCTGATTTTCTTTGCCTAACTCGAGTATCTCTGGAAGCTGTTTAATCTGGTGAAAGTATTCTACAAAGTCACATGAAGCCTAGAGGAGTGAGGGCAGCTCCCAAGGGTTCTACTGTGGCTCTTGATTATGTTTTATCACCTTGAGTCTTGCTGATTGGAAAGGAACTTTCAGTAGGTCTCTTTGGGTAACTTTAGACATGAGGGAGAACATTCAAGGGAATGAATATATTATTTGTTTCACCTTAAATATGTGGCTGTGGACTTTTAAAGAAACCATAGTAGTGTAACTGTTCATTTTTTTTCCCCCTACCATTTTCAGAGATCTTCTAGGGAGCAGGCTATCATTAACGCATCAGTGTATCTCATGTATTTATTAGCACAAAATTGCAAAGAAAAGCCAAACACATTATAGAATAATTTCTATATTGTATTTTAACCTCAAATTTTTATTTAGCCGCATTTTTATCTATATTACCTCAGAGAGAGGAAAAGGGAATGGCTACTGAGTATTCTGACCGTCTTTAGGTAACAGACACACATCCTCACCTGTGGTCATCCATTGTGCCAAACAGATTAGTGCTTCACAATTTTGTGAGCTTCTCCACCTGTCTAATATTTCCATGGTACCAGCATGCCTATTGGGATGCCCCAGCAATTCTCTTTCCAATTTGCATCAAAGATTACATATTCAAATTTCTTTTGTCCTCTCAAAAGAAAATGATGAAACAGTCCATAGTCCATCGATAAAAAGGAAAAAATATATTAGAAATGGATTAAAAATACAGATACGACAATTCCCACCACAGTTTATCACAAAAACTTCATCAACAAGCATCTGTCTCAAGAACTGGAAGTACTTTTATATTCATATTTCAAGAATAGATATTTCACTAGACAAACATTCAATAGCAATACAAAGAAGAGAATAACCAAAGGTCTTAACACTCACACGAAGCAATGTTCCCTATTTTTAGGAAGTGCTGGAGTCTCAGAATCAAGAATTTATAGAGAATCCAGAGGGCGTGGTAGCAATGAACCCCACATAAAACGTCCAATGAATGCCTTCATGGTGTGGGCTAAAGATGAACGAAGGAAAATCCTTCAAGCCTTTCCCGACATGCACAACTCCAACATCAGCAAGATATTGGGTAAGAAATGTATTAATGATTATGTGATGCATGGAATAAATTTACAGCTCTGTTTTCTGCAGTTGTTGAAAGGTACTGGCTTTAGAGGCCAGGCAGTTCATGTGATCTGCTTATCTAAAAAATAAGCACCTTTAATTGAGGATTTTCTTCTGATGACGAAGCATTTCATGTTTGTTGAGAAATGTGCCCAGTTTCTATAGCTTATTTAGTTGTGTGTCTCCATACTAATTGTTGTAATATTTTCTCTTCTTTAAGACCTAGAAATACTTTGTACCAAGACTAAGAAAAAAGTTCTTTTCCTATGAACTACTTGGTAATAGGATTGACCTTTGAACTATAGAATTCTTCACGTGGTAGGGATGGAGGTATAGGTGATGTTTGTTCTGGTACTATAATTGAAAATCAGTTTAGATTGTCAGGACCCAAGAAGATGGGGCGCGTGGTGCAATTTTTGATTTATACTTTTAGTAGCCTTAAGCAGATTTTCAGCATCTTTTATTTATATTTTATTTTTTAGAATTACTGTTCTTTTTTTATTAACATATAGTGTATTATTTGTTTCAGGGGTACAGGTCTGTGATTCATCAGTCTTACACAGTTCACAGTGCTCACCACAACACATATCCTCCCCAATTTCAGCATCTTTTAAAAAGGGACTTTTCCTGTCATTTCAGCTTTCAGCTTAACAGATAAAGTACATATTTTCCTTATGTACATAGACACTGATGCACACAGAAGAGATCGTGAGAGGTATAGGTAGTGATTATAAAGAGACCTACTATATGCCAGTTTAAGTCCCAGAAAAAGAAGGGAAGATTCCATTTCTGTTGTGCTGTTCACTTGACATCGTCATCATCTTCTTCATCTTCAGATAGTGTGATGGCCAGCTACTGGATAACCTAAGCAAATTTTGATTATTTATTCTCTGACCTCTAAGAGCTAAACAACAAAAAGAGAATAGGAGCACCTAACTCTGAATTTGGGCTTCAACAAATAAGTAACATTTCTCTAAGTTATTAAAGCTTTCCAAAAATCCATAATGCACTTGGAATTACATGTACCTAATGCAAGTAAGTGTTCATTTTGTTCCTTTACGTTAAGGAACGGATCATCTAGAAGTAGTTACTAAACATACACATGTGTTTTTATGCTCGCATATTCTCAAATGCTCATATCTCTGGGTGGAAATATGTGCTACCCAGTCCACAGCATGCATTTGTAATGAGACCAAAACAAACAAAACAAAAACCATTAACCACTTGAACTTAGGTCTCAGTTTTCATCTAAAATGATTTTGAGATCTTTAAATGAATGTTATCTCAAAAGATAAGAGTATGTGAAGCCTAGAAAATGTGAATATTTATGGATAAAGGAAATGTACATTTTTTACATCTCTACCATCTCTGATCTATTTTTCCTTTTTATGACCCTATTTTAACTTCCATATGAAATTTCCCACTTTCTAAAAAATATCATACCTGTTCCATTTGGGAAAAACTCTGGGAAAGAATAAAATACTTTATGTAAGCATATTCCGTATCTTAATGTATCAGTTATCACAAAATTAGAAATCCCAAAATGTCAAAAGGAAAAAACAAACTGAATACTAAGATTGTTTAAGCTGTCCTTATATCATTCAATTCCTGTGTCTGAATACTGGAAAAGTGATAGTCACTGATTAAAACTTTATCCTAAGTATAAGGGAAATACCAGTTGTGATGATGTGAAATACTTTAGGAAATGCAGCAAAAGATTTTATGGGAAAGATGTGACTAGCTACAAGCATTTCTTTCTGGTTTGAAGGAAAGAATATTATAATGACCATATGATTATATCATAATGGGCTACATTAAAAAGAGTGCTGCCTAATTTTAGACTTTTCAATAGAATTGTGCTCATTAAAGATATAGCGGGGAAAAAAAAAACACTGAGGTGTTTGGGACCTCAATATTTGGTCATAGCTTCAAACAAATAAGTGATCTGCAAATATCCACAAGATCATTCTAACTGGCCCATTTCATATAAGCGTACAAAGAAAGCTTGATGTTTTCTTCTTTACTGATTGTTTTGGATAACAGCCTCCGACAGCATGCCGCTAATTCATTCTGCTTAAAACAGGCGCTTGAGCTGGGTTGACATTTTACGTAGTCTCTGGGGATCCTAGTTGACATTTTAAAGGGCTTCTAAGCATTTTATAATACCCTAAAATCTGGTTTTAATAAGCCATTCTGCTGAAATTGTTAACATAAGGAATCACCTTTTACTGTTTGGCGCTAGATCAGGGGATGGGGGACATCTTTTTCTGATTAGATATACAGTAGTTGGAGTAAAATGTGCAAATTCATTACAGACCCCATGGAGATGACAATGCTGCTCAGCTCAAACTCTTCATTTTTATTGTATTGCCAGATTTAGAAAGGAAAAGAGTGCTCTCAAGACTGTTTTTTTTTTTCTTCTTATTTTGAGCATCAGATTTTTCCAATGAATCTTCCTCTTTGTCATTGGGGGGAATACCCAGATGTCCTCTCAGTTTTCCATTGTAAAAGGCCAGTCTTTTGAAAAATGCAGGGAACTTACTCCCTGCACGTGGTCCCGAGTAAGCAGTCAAGCCCTCCCCACCAGATCAAGTAGACGTTTTCCTCTCCTTTGGAGAGAACTGAAGTGCTCATCTAGTGTGTCTCAGGGTTCACATTGTAGCTCTATACAGTGGATGCTGTACCTGCAAAACCATTAAAACCGAAACCAAACTCGTCATTTGGTTAACCCTATTCAAAAGTTATTGAAAAATGAAAACTGTATCTGCCATCAAACCGAAACACTCTTTGTCTCCACTGTCATAAAATGGAATAGTTAGCCATTCTGCCAACTACAGACAGTGCTTAGGCTACCTTAATTCTTCATTTTAAAAAGACATCACTAGGATGTGGCCATCTTTTAAAATGTAATTTAGGATTCAGGGATATTTCCAGAGAAATTATATTAGCAAATGTCTAAATATTCTGTGATTCCAGTTCATGCCAGATTTAGAAGCCAACTTGTCTGAGAATTTATACATCTTTTATTATATATAGATATACACCTCTTTATTTTATCTTTACATAAATATATATCTTTTATTTATTATATATATGTGTGTGTGTATATATATATATATATATATCCCTTTTTCCTCTGCATTTCAGCCAGATTGACTTTCTTTAAGTTCCTCTAATCCCCCTTCCCACTTGACCATTCTATTCTTCCTCCGTAGAAAGCTCTCCCTTTCTGATTCCTACAGGAGTCATTTCCACAGCAAAGGCTTCCTGACCTACAAAAGATTGATCCCAACTCCTTAGCTTCCTGTGCATTCCACAATTGTAATTAAAATAATAAATTTTTTAATTAGCGGCTTAATGTATTTCTTTTCCACTGGAATATGACCCTCAAGAAAATAAGGAACATAATGATTCACCACTGCATATCCAATAATTAATACAGCATGATGCACACAGTAGGAAATCTAAAAAGAGTTATCACCTTCTGAGGCATGTTACTATGAGGCATAAACATTCCTTTCCTTAGAAAAATGTATTCTTTTTGAGCTTATAGAACATTTAGACTTGGAGAAAAACCCTTAGCAATTCCTATTCTAACTGAGAATGCTAATTTCTTTCTTCTATCTAGTGATAAAGATAGGGAATTTTAATATATTTCTTTAATTCTTAAGTAAATTATTTCTGGTAAGCTCACTTTTGCACTCCCGGATCTGAGGTTCAAAATCTGTTGTACATACTCGTAAGAAACTTTCCAAAAAGAATTGATCTAGTTCAATAGTATTATAGCTTTATCTGTATTTATATTTGCCCTGAGAATAGCGTAATGTTTTCCAATACCTCTAGAGAATAATGTTGGGCAATATAGAGTTTGAGATTGTACCTACAAATTATTGGATGTGGCTATTTAAACACAAGTTTGAGAAAGGAATAGAAAAACAACCTCTATTATTTGAACTGTAACTTGGATTTCTGTAGTAAATAGAATAAAATCATACTGGCTATCTAGATTGGAAAAAATCTGTTTATAAATTTTTTTAACACTTGCATTGATATACCCACCCAGGCAACATCTGTTCCAATAGGAATGAATCCTAAGGGAAGAGTATCGTCCCTTTTACTGTATTCCTTTAATACATGTAACAGCCCATATTGAGGAATTGTCTGCATTTGTAGGGAAGAACTGTTCATCAGTAAACTATTTGCATTTGAGATATGGAATTACGGTTGAGTAATGAACCCATCTGAAAACCTTAAGATCTTGCTTAGGGGACTTTGAAAGGCAGGTATAGGCTTCCATACCAGAACATATTTGGTAGGGAACTCCCAATTCCAGTTATTTTGGTCTTTGTGCTTTTGGGTAGAGTTGAACTGTTTACTTGCTGATAAACACACTTCATCTGCAAATAGATTAATAAAAAGTCATCATTATTACCACTACTTCTCTTACTACTACACATAGCCACAGTAATAGAACCAAAGCTTTAAATCACATTTATATTGAGAATTAGCATCATTATTTTCTTTTGAAAAAATTTTTTATTATTATGTTATGTTAATCACCATACATTACATCATTAGTTCTTGATGTAGTGTTCCATGATTCATTATTTGCGTATAACACCCAGGGCTCCATGCAGAACGTAGCATCATTATTTTTAATTAAGTTGCAAACATTTTTTTGTGTGTGTGAGCCTAGTTGAAACCAAACCAAAATCAAAAGTGAAAAGAAGGGGAAAACCAATTTGGATTACCAATTTGGATTAATATTATTAATGCATACTATAGCACAAGAAATGACATCGTTATATATTATTGAAAGTGATTTATTAAGAGAAAAATCTTACCCCGTACATACTTATTCTTGTAATTCTGATGTCCGCTAGATCATAGATAGCAGGTGGGTTTGGGTATCTAAAAACATACATTGTAGCATATTCGTGTTCAATTACATCCAACCTGAGTTTGAGTCACAGATTTGCAAACTATTAATTGTGTGACCTTGGGTAAGTTACTTCATCTGTTTGAACTTCAATTTTCTCATCTTTGGAAATAGGTATAAATGCTAAAACTACCTTACAGGATTCCAGTGAAAGGTAAAAATGAGACAACTTATGTAAAGTTTTTAGCATAGTATCTAGCACACAGTAGTTACCCAGTGCATGTTCGTTAAGATAATTTTTTGTAATTAAAGTTTTAATGAATTGAATTTTTAAATGCAATCATTCATGAAAGCATACTTAAACATTTTGAGGAAAATTTTATGTAATATATGTTAGAAATTATATGTAATATATGTTAGAAAATTATATGTAATATATGTTAGAAACCTTGTAGTAAGTAATGTCCCCCCCACGTAAAAATACTCAGTAACTAGATAATTAGCCACAGATTGAAAATGTGTAATAAGTTTTTGCATAACTTTCCATTTCACAGTTGACCTATCGTGGTCTAATGTGGAAACGAAAGGTATATTCTTTAAATTATCTGTGAGCTTTTAAATATATAATACACATGGTTGGCTACATTGTTAATTCCAGCCAGAAAAAAAAAATAGATCCCCCCACCTTTGTATCTTCGGGTACACAGTTTCCTTAAGGACATAGCCGGCAGCGCCTCTGTTCTTGTAGGATCTCACCTCATGAGTCATAGTTCGCTAATCAAACACATTTTTATGTATTTCTGGGTTTGGGCCAGCATTTTTACTTTAGATTTTCTTGTTCTCAGTGATATCTTTTTAGGAACCCGCAGCTGTGCATATTGGAATCCTAACCTTCTTTTCCTCACAGGATCTCGCTGGAAAGCTATGACGAACCTAGAGAAACAGCCGTATTACGAGGAGCAAGCCCGCCTCAGCAAGCAGCACCTGGAGAAGTACCCCGACTACAAATACAAGCCCCGGCCGAAGCGCACCTGCCTCGTGGATGGCAAAAAGCTGCGCATTGGTGAATACAAGGCAATCATGCGGAACAGGCGGCAGGAAATGCGACAATACTTCAATGTTGGGTATGGACCTTTCAGTCGCTTTTTCATGGGGAATGCTTCTTGTTATACTTAATGGGATGTAAGACATATTTGGTTTGCTGCGAGCCAGCATTTTGAAAAAGAACCTGAACTCAGTGTATTTTCAGAGACTAGACTATCCCCCACATGATCCTGAAAAAGAATACCTCCACACGAAGTGACTCCAAGGGCCTAGAACATTGGCTCTCCCATGAGCTTTCCTGACAACTGGCTGAAAAGTAAATAGTTTTGCAGTTCCTTATTAAAAACTGAGAAGTATTATCGGTTCTTGTCCTTGTTGGTGTTCATTACTTCTAAGACGTCACATGGACAAGTTCGACACCATCCTTGTTTGAGATCATACATCATAAAAATGATTTCAAAAGAAACACTTGCTTTGGAATATAGAGGGGTTTCTGGGCGATCAAGGCACACGTGTGTCCTTTGTAGATCACGCAAAATGGAGATTCTACTTAGGGCACGACAAGATTCTGAACGGGAAAGGCTCACTTCTGGGGAATCAAGAATGTAGCTCCTAGGAGGTTTTACCCTGCTTCCTACAGGGCGAGCCTGGCTACGGTGTCCTATTATGCTGCCTGCAGCTTCATTGCTTCTACAGAATTTTCTCAGAAAGCAGAGAAATAAAGCTGCTCATATCTGGAACAGAAGTTAGTAAGATCCTGAGGGCTGCTTAGAATAGTAAATACTGTTCTGAAAATGGCAAGAGGATACCTTAAAAAAAAAAAAAAAACAAAACTTTAAAAGTCTGCCCTATCCTTGTCCCTGGAAAGAGTCTGCCTGCTCTGACCAGTGGCCTGTGATTTACATCCCAGGGCATGAGTCTTCTCAGAGCTGAACACGAAACCCAACACTGACGAAATAGTAAACATATGAATGAACAAATGAATGAATGAATGAAAGAAAGAAGGCATAAGTGAACATCATCCATTAATCCCTTCTCACTAAGATCAGCTACATAATTTGTGGAGCCCAGGGCAAAATGAAAATGTGGGGTTCCTGTTAAAGTTAAGAATTTCAAGACTGCGGCAGCAGAACTTTAAACCAAACATAGGGTCTTTCTAAGCCCAGGAGCAAGCTGGGCTTAGAAAGGGCTATACAGCTGGGCTATACAGCTGCAGAGCTGTCCACCCTGCTTCCTATCCCCCCCAGCTATGGCAGGGACCAGGTGGGCAAAGTGATACTGTTCAGTTCTGGTGAGTTCTGAGCAATAAGGTTTTATTTTGAGAACTCTAATATTGTAGGGTTTTTTTTTCCATTAAAATTGCATTATCTTTAGTTTAATTATTTCTAAAACCTCTGGATGTTATAGTGAAGGAGACATGAACTTGGGGTCAAGTTCTTCTGCTTAATCTTTCTGCACCTCAGGGGTTTTTTTCTTCATAAGATAGTAATAAAACAATTATTTTAAGAATCAAATAGGTACCACATGTAAATGCCTTGTAATCTGTCAAGCTCTAGACAGCAGTAAGGTATCGACCTCACAGGAGGATGCAATTTTTTTAAATGTTGGGCAATAGAATGAGAATCACTATTTAGAACTGGGCAAGCTGAACAGATTCGTTATATAGTAAAGCCTGCATGTGAGTATCCTGTCACTCACGGTCTTTTTTTGGGGGTATTCCTCTCTGCAGGCAACAAGCACAGATCCCCATCGCCACAGCTGGTGTTGTGTACCCTGGAGCCATCGCCATGGCCGGAATGCCCTCCCCTCACCTGCCCTCGGAGCACTCAAGCGTGTCCAGCAGCCCAGAGCCTGGGATGCCCGTTATCCAGAGCACTTACGGCGTGAAAGGAGAGGAGCCACATATCAAAGAAGAGATCCAGGCTGAGGACATCAACGGAGAAATTTATGATGAGTTCGATGAGGAAGAGGACGATCCCGATGTAGATTATGGGAGTGACAGTGAAAACCATATTGCAGGACAAGCCAACTGATAAGGGTCAAAAGATTGTTGTGACCTTAGGACTTAAAGAAGCCCTAGCTGGTTCATCCTTACCAGTGGCCAAGCACATTAACTTTCTCATACACTGACTGTTACTTTAACTGTTAGTCTTAAATAGTTGGGACATCAGCTGACTAATAGACCTCAGCCTCAAAAGGCTTGGAAAGGAAAAAAAAAATACAAGCAAACAACAATATCAACAACAAGAGATTGAAATAAGCTATGGGTAAAATAATGCCAGTAATTCAGCTGCTACATCCAAGCACTGAAGTCTTACCCGTCAACTTTTTTTTTTTTAATAAACTTTATGGCTGTTTGTTCTACAATGTTCTAGAAATTCTCACTCAGGTACACAGTGCCAACAAGTGGCTTGTGAATGTGTTTTGTTGTTTTGTGCTACAATTTTTAAAAAGAAATAAGTTTTGTTTTGTTTTGGGGGGTTTCTGGGTTTTTTTCCTTTTCTTTTTCTTTCCTTTCCTTTTTTTTTTTTTTTGTAATGCACCTGACAGAAAAAAAGAAAGATGAATTTCTCTTTATTTCTCTCCACCTTCTCCATCTCTATACTTTAAAGATGGAAGTCTGTGCATGGGGGGAAGAGGGAAAAAGAGCCTGTTTTTAACTTCCTTGCTATCCACCACAAAATAAGCAATTGTTTTCTTTAGAGGACTTTCTTTATCTATTGCACACCACACTACATCTTTGAGCAAGTGCCAAATTTGTACTGAAGTGTTGACCCAGTTCCTTTTCTTTTTTTTTTTCCTTTCCTTTTTCCTGTTCCTTCTTAAGTTAGGACAGTGTTATATCTTAGACAATCCCTTGAAAAACCTGAAATACCAGCAGCTGGTGAGATTTGACTTTTTTTTTTTTAAATGGAAACTGTAGGTGCTGTTCTCAGGTGAAAAGAGAGAGAGAGAGAGACATAAGAAATTTAGAGAAAAAATATTTTCTGATCTTGGATTTTTGTGTGTATGTATGTGTGTGATTATGGTACTAATAGGAATAACATTGAACCATTGTGAGTTAAACCCACATCTGGGGATGAAATCCCACATCCTCCTAAGTGACTGGTCTGGAAGCAACCTTGACCTTGACTTTGCACTTCAAATGACAACCAAGATAGGGCTCAGAAATTATATTTTTAAATTTCTAATACGATTATTATTGGATGGATCAGGCAGCCCTGTGTAATCGAGGTGTGCGTATATAACATGGAAGCTACTAGCAAACTGTTCCCAGATGTCCCTTCTTCCTGGTCAGTTTGTTCCACTAATGTTTGCTACTTAATGATTTGTTTGTTTTCTGATTGATAACTTCGAGCAAAACAATCATTGTTTTCTTTGACTGTATTTGGCCATTTTCCAGAAACACAGAATTAGCTTATTTCTTCAACATTCCATCCTTTCCTGATTAGGAAATGGAACTGATGATTTTATAAGGTATTTTTCATCTCTCCATGAAATGAGGCAGAGGCCATTTGCATTTCACAATTGTGGGCCATGTGCATCCCATACCATAAAAAGCAGGATTTGATTAAAAGTCATTGCAGCCTGACAAAATGGAGCCTGGCTGAACCCAGTGATCCTCGCCACCACTCTTCCCTCGCCGTAAGATGAATCCACTGAAGTCCAATTTGGGGTTCCAGCAGAGTATGTGCATAGAGCAACAACTGATGGTGACAGAACTGCTTATTTAGATTTTGCCAGCCAAATGCCAAGGCAGTTATAGGGCTTGTACAAATAAATGCAAAATCATTTAAAGTCAATTGCCATTATTTGTGCTGAAGCATCAGACAATAAATACTCCAACCAGTAGCTTGGATGTGCTATGGTTTTCACTCCAGTCATCATTTTCCTATCCCACCCCTCAAACCTGACCCAGAAGTTTGATTTTTACATATAAATAAGAAAAAAACTCCTTTTTATTTTTCTCTCTCTCAAAAGACTTGCTCTGGGGTTTTGCTTGGAGGAGCTGATCATATCCTGCATGTCAGAGATTTTGTTTTGTTTTTCTGTTTGTTTTTGATGACTGTATTTTCATTTGAACTGCCTCTTTTTGCTAGTGTTGTAATGATGATGATGATAAAATAATAATAATAATAATAGTAATAATAATAATAATGGTCAGCTGTTCCCAGATTAGTAAGTTATGTATAATTTATTTCTCCCTCTCTATTTTATTCTCCTCTGATTTGGAAGTGCAGCCAATAAGCTGTTAGATATTTAAAACAAATTTCCATCTTCCAACTCATATATATATATATATATTTATACACACACACACACACATTCACCCACACAATTTTACTTCGCCTTCAATAAGTTTTCTCCTTTTTAAAAATTTGGCCCCAACAATGTCAAGTTCTGGTGTTTCATACAAAGGAGTGAATAGGAGGGTCGTGTTCAATCTTAATTAACTTATGCTCTCATCACTCATTTAGTTATTTAATTGCCACAGTCATCTAGAGCCAATTTTTTTTTGTTTTTGTTTGTTTTTAAGCACTCTGGATAAGGAAAAAAATAGACACTCGTTTTATATCGTTATGTACAATGTGAAAACAGATTTTTAAAAATTTGTTCTTCGTCTTTGTTAACAAATTTTTCTGACTTATGTGGGTTCACCTCTCACGTTTGCTGGATACTTATTTTACACCACGTTATAAAGATGTTTTGTTTTCATTTCATGACTTTGGGCTACAAGAATACTTTGTTTTAGCTCCAGGTAGATGCCACTGAGGGCAATCACAGCTGAAACCGATTCTAACGCACTTACCAGTGAATTGACAAAACACTTCTGTTTGGTCTTTTTTTGTTTGTTCTTTATTTTGTTTTATTTGAAGGGGAAAGCGAGATTGTTAATGATGACCCTAACTGCTGAAATTCAGAAGTTAATTTTATTTAGTTAGGTTGATGTCAGAGAGGCTATACCGTGCGTGGACAAAAACAGGAAGTCCAGAACCCCGCGTTCTGTTCTCATGTTCTGACACAGAATTCACTGGGTATCGCAATTTCTTTGCCTTAGTTTTCCCCAGAAGAAAACAAGAAAAATTATACTGTTTAAAATGCTTTGAAGTCATTTGATAAAAGGTGCTATGAATAGCAACTTAATGTGTTAACACATTGCCTTTTTGGCATTCGATTGGTTTATCGTTTTTGTAAAGGATCCTAAAACCTTGTATTCTCTCTCTGTGCCCCATGATGATCAAAAAAGCTAAGGTAGAGGAAATGAGAGTAAGATCAAACTGAGATGAAGATAACATTTCCCTCCTCTATCCTTTCCTGCCTCCCCGTTCACATATCTCTCTCTCTTTCTCTCTCTCTCTCTCACGCGCACCCGCGCATACACACATGCACACACTCATCCCGGTACTGAGGAATAATCTTGCCTGAACTCTCATTTTATGGCTATTGTAATCAGTTCCTCCAAAAACAGTCATGTTTTAATATGAATATAAGAGAACATCACTGAAGAAAATAGGTTAAAGTTGCTCATTTACAAGTTACTAATAATTTGGCTAGTTACTGCAACTGGATAAAATACAAAACTGTTCTTCAGTACGTTTATTAGTTAATTAGTTAAACCAAATTTTAACATTTATTTGGCATTTGCTTTTAAAAGTTAACCATGTATAAAATCCCTCCCAAAGAACATAATTATTATTGAAACCAAATCCTCTTATAAGGAACGATTATAAAAGAGTTTTCTTTGATGAAATTATTTCATAGATTTGATTTCGGAGTAGACTTTTACCTTAATTCATTTAAAGAAAATTATCTTTAACTATTTTGTGGTCCCAATTTCAGATATTTTCTTAATCCAGAAGTTGCCACTGTTCCCAGCAGAAATCTCTTTTATCACATTTAAAACGTCAAAAAATAACGTTCATTCATTCTAGTGGGTGAATTATTGAATTGTAACAAGCAACTGTATATTTGCAAACAGGTTTATAAAATATTTAGCAAGTTAATAGTAAAATAAAAGTTATGGGGTCTGCAAGGAAAATTATGAAGCCCACTTAAAGTGGTTCAGATATCTCTTATAGGGCATAAGTTTTTGTTTAGACAGGCTTTTACAGTATTTAATTTTAAAGTTTCCTACAACTGTCAGTTTCCCAAGTTGAAGATGCTGTTGTGTGAAGTTTCCTACTGATTGATTCCTGTCCTTCCCAGTGTTTCTGTCCCTGGTTCACTGAAACAGTATTTATACGGCTCCACTGGCTCTAAAGTTCTTAGTCCTTCTAACATTTTGGATTTTACAAGTCAAAATGGGGAAAAAAAGTAGAAAAGAGACAATCAAATGCCTGGAGCTTAAAACAAAGTATGTGCAACCTACCATCTCACTTGAAATTTAATAAAATAAATAATTATGTAAATATAACATAGAGTTATAGATTTATATTTTGTTCATAACACATAGTGTAATATAAGTTGTATATTTTCATGTTTTTGGTTTTATGTTACCATTCATGCCACAATAAAAAGAAAACAGGAGTTTATGTACTCTTAAAAAAAAAGATGTGGGTTGCGACCAACCTGTTCTTTTGTTTTTTTGTTTTTTGTTTTTGCATTCTCTTTTTTCAGTATTACTGCCATGCAAGGCACCAATAAAAACAGCAAATGTGTTCTTTACCTATTATACTGTGTTTCTTTCCACCATTCTTGTTATGAAGGTATAATCTTCAGTTTTATTATGGAAAGAGTAAAAGTACGGAAAATAATTTCATTTTCAATATAAATAACCCCGCTTCCTAAAGTGGACTTTGAACTGAGAGCTAAGGATTTAATTCTTAGCGGTGGACATTGCAAGAAGGACTACCAGAACTTATAATGCATCTCATCATACAGGGATCTAGCTTCACTATAATGTCAAAAGATATCGCTCTCATATGCAATTGAGTCTAATACTCTTTAAAATCCTACAGCCCGAAGCACTTTTAATGTTGTTTTCCTAAGTTTGATGCTATCATGGGGGCAGGGTTTCTATACTTTAAAATTATATTTTATCCTGTTGTTTGTATAGAAAAAATGTAAATTTCAGATTGTGAAATTACTAAGAACTATAACTAATATTCACCTTGCTGGCATCTAATTTAGAATAATGGGTATTCCTAAATACCCATTAGCCTCTGGATTCTACCTTTAACTTTTTAAGCAAATGTGAAAAATGAGAAGCCTCCTTTCCTTCCGATGACCATTTTTGCTCGTCTTTTCCACCATATTATGTTTTTCTATCTTGATAATTCTGTGTGTAACTGGTTCCTGTAGGGGTTTTTGTTTGTTTCCTTGGTTGGTTGCTTGCTTGCTTGCTTGCTTGGTTTTTAAGTAAGTACCAAGATGCTGGGTCAGATAGCATCTGGTTCAAATGAATATAAATTAAGTATATAAAGAGGATAGACTCTAGTAACACTCGGCCGGTTGTAGCCCTTAACTGAAGTATTTTACAAAGTCTGGTCCATGGACCACCTGCTTCAGAATTAACTGTTCAAAGTGTAGATTCCTGGGCCCGACTCCAGATGTAGTGAATCAGAATCTCTAGGGATAGAGATAAAGCTGTTGCTGTTTAACAGCTCCAGATGATTATGCGGCATACGCTGGTATCTCAAAACAACCAGGAGGTGGGGCTATTTTCCTCTCCTATTGACTTCTGGCGTGTCAAATTTTGCAGATCCTGCGGCCTACCATCCTTTAACTTTCAGCCTCTGTGAAAACCTTGACGCTTAGGGTCAGTGAGTGGCCAGAGTTGGAGATTTGGAAAGAGCTCTCCTAGACTGTGTTTGATCCACCAGCGCCATGCTTGTCCGTTATCCTCATTTCTCTGCTCTGTTCTGAGCAAAGCAGGAGGCTTCAGAGTCTCTCCCAAGTGAGCGGAACACTGAAAATATAACGGAAACTCACAAAGCTACACCCACTTAGTATTGGCAAAACAAATTAAGGTTCTTTTGAAAGGAAAATAGCCATTGAAGAAGTGAAGAGATAAACATTCCATGCAGTGTTTATAATGGACCACCTAAGGCGGCTACGCTGGTCACAGTCTCACCCCCTTACTTCACAAAAAACAGCATTATCATAATGGATATGCTAACAATATGTGGACAGGGAAGATCTCGGCTGGTTCTGAAACCTGTTCCCTCAAGGGGTGAAGTCCCAGCCACCACCCTCTCTTTCCTACCAAATAAAGTTCACTTAGTTTTGTCCTGTGATACATCAATTTAGAAGCATTCTGTTCTTGGCCTTTACATTTTTTTTTTTTTAGTTTCTTATGGAATATTTAGGACTAGCATGCAATAATGGATTGTTTTCTTACTGCCAATGCCTTGAACAACCAAAAAATACTGGCAATAGTGAAAAGAGACCCATTCTCTCTCTTTTTTTTTCATTTATCTCAGATTTGCCAATTTCAGTGTTGGTGTTTTGAGAACGTTCACATATGTGTTTTTAAGAAATCAGGACACTGTCATTCTTACCAAATTTTGAAGTTCAGCAGTCATCCCTATTTACAACTTAACACCATCATTGAAACCTCAGTTATAGCAATGGAGTTGAAGGTAAGCATGAATTAGACCGATGTCTGAGTTAAAGAATATTTATGAAAAAAGAAGATTTATTTTTCTTGAGTTACTAAAGCAACCTAATAGCTAGCTGAGAAGACCTGTTTTATAAGTAAGCATTGTAATTAGTATGTAAAGTGTATGCAATAGTATTGCTAAAAGGTTCTTAAAAATAGTTATGTTTTCTTAAACAGGCTAAACATCTGTCCTACAATTTTGTTTGTTCTACCAATTTGCTTTTCTATTTTTACCACCAAGAATGAACCAGTTCAGCTCTGATCACAATAATCATTTTTCAATTAGGTCCAGATTCATGAGATTTTACCCCCCCATTAGTGCCATTTTCTAAATACGCAGACAAATATGGAATGGAAT